TCCGATCTTTTTTGATAACTTTATTGATCTGATCTATCACGGATATGTATTTATTAATATCGAGTAGTCATGGATTATCACGAAGTGTCTGCAGTTCTCAGTCACAGAAGTCAAGCAGCGTTGACGGCAGTCGTGGCTTGGATGGGTGACTTGGTTAGTTGAAAAAATGTGATTAAAAGCGATTAAAAAAAAGTAATCCATTTCGATTGAGATTTGTGTCCTGAAATAATATGCGTGCATTGAAATGTTGTATTAATCCCTACATTTATCATAAATTCGAGTTTGGTTTCGAAAATTTTTTCTTGTCATTAGTTCGATTAATTCTATATTACATTTAAAATGATAAAATATGTATGAGATTTTATTATTAGTTGAACTATATAATTAATTTTGACATGATATATTCATATATCAATCAGTAAATTTTGGATCGACCAATTGCTTTTTTTGTACGAATAATCGTCGAAGTTTGGATTGACATAGATTCCTATCACCTGATACTAATCCGTTTAAAGTGAATTATATCCGATTTGAATGATTTTAATCCTTTTTGATACCGCATTTTCGGTGCAGAAATCCCGATCGAATCGGATAACTTTTTTTATAATCGGTTTTAATCGAACATTTTCGGCAGGGATGTTTCTTTCTTCAAGTGATTTTTCAGTCGACGAATAATTAATCGACACGGATTAATAATAATTAAGCAATAAATTTGATATTAAAATCAGTCGATTGCTTGCTATCGTCGTGAACGAGTCGTGAGTTAATAAATCGTCGTGTGTTTCTTTTTCTTTCTTCGTATAATTTTTCAATGGACGGATAATTAATCGATTGTATCGACAGTGATTGTAAAGTACGTAACGGATATTAATTAGTAGCTACATTAATAGATTTCTTGTGATTTCTTCAAATGAATAGTTTGTATGTGAATCGAGTGTAAAATATTGAAGTGATACGGTTTGTAAAAAAAAGAATTAACTATTTTTTTTACTATTTAATTAATTATTTAATCTGTGTCAGTCAGTGGATAACTTGTGACGTTTACATTAGATCGGAAGAGCACACGTCTG